CAGACGAACGCGAGGCTCAGTGTTGCAGAGAACGTCGTCGCTTGCGGACGTCGCGCTCCCTCTCTCTCGAAATGGCAAGCGAGACGACAGAACAAATGGCCCAAATGAGTTTAGGTGAGTCCCTATTTTTAAGAGAAACACCCACGCCCTTCATTCCCAACAGAACGAATATCCATTTGACCTCCTTTTTTCCCACGAAATGTCACGAAAAAAATGGACCTCAAACAGCATGCGGCGTGACTCTCGTGTCAAAATATGTTTCCACTTTTGGACGATTTTTTCCCTTAATAACAACAAAACCTCACAATTTCCAGGAAAGTCGATTAATATTTCACAGCCTGACAGCGAATCGACGTGATATTCCGTATAATAGCGGTGGAATTTGCGCTAATTAGCATAGGGTCATGAGTTTCCGGCAGGAGGTCAGAGAGAGGGAGAGGGAGAGAAATAAAAAGGGAGAGAGGGAGGGAAGGAGAAAGAGAGAGAGAGAGAGAGAGAAAGAGGGAGAAAAAGGGAGAGGGAGAGAAAGAGAAAGAAAAAGGGAGAGGGAGAGTGACAGAGAAAAAGGGAGAGGGAGGGAGGGTAGGAGAAAGAGAAAGAGGGAGAGAGAGTAAGAGAAAGAGAAAGAAGGAGAGGAAGAAAAAGGGAGATTGTGTTATATTTATTACAGAAATTATAATTACTATAATGTTATAAACATTAGTAACAGCAGAATAAGATAATGTACAATATTTTTGTAAATCAAAGAAAAGGGCAAATGAGCGAGACAGGCAGTACTTGTAATTGGCTCATTGGCGACTTAGTATAAGTGTAGCCATCTATGTGTTAAAACAATCAAACAAGTAAACTCACAGTGGGCATGGCATGTACAAACATGCCATTGGCATTGGCATTGGGTTAAGTTGCCATGACAGGGCGTGCACTTCGGGCACTCCCTGAGGGGAGGCTTGATTGGGGGGGGGGGGGGGGGGGGGGGCAGCCACTGGGAAACATTGCCTTCACCAAAACACTACAACTTTTAGTCCTCTACAAGAATATCAACTTCAATTTGCCTTACCGTCCATTCCATAACGATTTACCCTTCTTTCCCTTCATTTTCTTTGCCTTTGTTTACGAAGTGCCCGCACCGCTCTGAGACAAAGTCCCCATTGCTCCAGCCACATTAGGGAATCTGCAAACATTGCCAAATAAACCAAAAACCTTCCTAATGCAGGAAATTTGCCCCCAAACCCCCATACAGTCACTGTGTTTAGGACCCCCATCTTAGCATCAATCTTCCAGTATTTTCTTCATTTCTGATCTTATTTTTTGCCCACCCTGTCGTTTTGTTTACCAGTAAGTGTAGTTTTTCCCTTACTCCCCAACTCCATCTCAAAATTAAATCATCAATTTATGTAAAAATTAATTCATCAGTTTAAGTTGCCATGACAGGTGTGCCCTTTGGATGGTTTTAAGTATTTCTTTTATTATCAGTTTGCAAATGAAACATTATAGATTAAAACTTTCGTATTTTGGCTCTTTCTTTCCAATTCAGTTTACCTCGTATCACAAGGCTTTGTGAAACTGTAACTCTACCTTTTTTATTTCTTTTCCTTTTTCATCTCCCTCATTGCCTCCTCTTCATGTTATTCTTTGTTTGCTTCAACTTATTTGATTTCATTTTATTCTTCTTTTTTTCAGCCTTGTCTTTACTTCTTCCCCCATTCTTCTTTTTCTTCTTCTTTTTCTTTTTTTTCTTTTTCTTTTTTTTTCTTTTTCTTTTTTTTTCTTTTTCTTCTTTTTTTTTCTTTTTCTTTTTTTTTCTTTTCTTCTTTTTTTTCTTTTTCTTTTTCTTTTTTCTTTTTCTCCTTCTTCTTCTTCTTCTTCTTCTTCTTCTTCTTCTTTTTCTTTTTCTTTTTCTTTTTCTTTTTCTTTTTCTTTTTCTTTTTCTTTTTCTTTTTCTTCTTCTTCTTCTTCTTCTTCTTCTTCTTCTTCTTCTTCTTCTTCTTCTTCTTCTTCTTCTTCTTCTTCTTCTTCTTCTTCTTCTTCTTCTTCTTCTCCTTCTCCTTCTCCTTCTCCTTCTCCTTCTCCTTCTCCTTCTCCTTCTTCTCCTTCTCCTTCTTCTCCTTCTCCTTCTCTATCATTATCTTCTTCTTCTTCTTCATTATCTTCTCCCCCTCTCCCTCTTCCCCTGTTCCTGTAATCTTTATTAACCCATTCATGCCTGGATGAAGTTGATCTGTAACTGTAAATAAAAATAACAAGGAAGAAGATCCTGTTTTAAAGCTAGTGCAGGATGTTGAACAAGTTACTGTTATTGATTATTTATGTGATGATAATTTTTTATATCAATTTTCCTCACCAACTTTGAAAATGGGTCTGTATCAAGCAATGCTGTAGTCTCCTTTATTTTGTGATGGTATTAGGTATAGAAGCTATTTTATCTTCTCATATTGAAAGAAAGGAAGTAATGTCTGAATAAAGGAGCTAAAATTCCCAGGGCTATCATATCCAGGACTAGTTTCACAGTATCGGCTTTCAGTTATTATGGGGAATTATATGTGCTTCATCAGAATGAGTTGATTAATTTAGAAAGTTGTTTTGATGCCACTAACATCATAGAAGCAAATTACATACTTGGTTATATGGTCTTATGTATAGTGGTATGGGAGCAGGCTGCCGGTGGGTGAAAGCTTGTGGTAAATATCATGTGAAAAATGCTAGCAAAGATGAGCACTCTTCATTATACTCTGTATTTTGATGGTTGTATAGCGTGTGGAGGGCATGCAAACTAAATCTTAGATTTATTTAACATTCTTTCTATATTTATTTTGCTTAGAATGTTTCATATTTACTTAACTGCTTTATTGACGTATTTGCCAACTTATTTAACCCTTTAATCTGTTTAACTATTTATATTATGTCTATGTCCCCAGGGGAAATTTACACCTCGGAGAAACATGGCTCGGATGAGACGGGGGACGGCACTGCTGACCGGCCCTTGAAGACAGCCATGCAGGCCATGCGCAAGGCAGGCAAGGAGCCTTTCCCCACCATCTATGTTGACGCGAAAGAGGAAGGACAGGTTGGGATTCATGTATATTGACATCTGATTAGCAATTCCTTCATTTTGCCTTTTATTATTATTATTATTATTATTATTAGATACGTATCTCTGATTTGTCTCTTTGGTAAAGGATGCTACTCTGATGTTGATTTTTGTTCATTAGAACATAGTGAAATGAGCTCTTTGTTCAAGGGTTTTATTAGCACCCATACTAGAACCAGCATTCGATTCCCCTTGCCATTTTGCGTGTCTCAGAGGATGCTGTTGCCTTCTAGAGTGAGGGGCCCAAGGTGTCGGGCAACAGCAATGCAATTGCCGATATGGCTCCTTGCCTGCAAGCGCTGGACATGCACCTGTGCGAGTCCAGTTACCTTGCAGGCCACCAGCCGACACAGGCTGACACTCTCGCCCACCAGCGGCTAAGAGGGGGGGCCATAGCGACAGCAGAGGCCCAAGGTGGAGACTCCCATGGCTACCCCCATGTCGCACGCTGGTGGAGACACATTGAGAGTTTCGGCAGCGAGAGGGAGGGATTTCCCTCTGCTGACCCTGCTGTTCTGGAGCGGTTTAGCTTAGGGGATGTGCGTTTATCGCAGGTGAATGTCGGCTGGTGTGTACAAGTAGCACAATTTTAGCAAATTGACTTTTACATTTATTTTTTATTTATTTATTTATTTTTTTTTATTTTTTTTTTTTTCTTGTGCTTATGCATGACGTATAATCGTCTTTGATTTAAACTTGCAGTTGGAATTAATTTTTTCAGAATTTAACCCATTCACTCCTGATGATTTCCAGTCTTGTCAGGGCAGAATTTTCACCACTGCTAGGTGATGCCTAATCGTATTATGAACCCAAGTCCTGGTGGCTGGTACGATGCCACCTGTTGCTATGACTCAGCCATGCCAAGATTTGCTTGAAATTTTAAATCAAGAATGGGTTAAGTTTTCTTTTGGATAGTAATTTATTGAGATTAATCCTTTCTTTCCTATGATGCCTATGAAGTTATTTTTTAATTTTACTGTTATCATTGCTTCCTATCTCCTTCAATGATAATGGTAATGACTGCATGGGATAGTGCTTCAAAAGAGCTGTCAAATAAAAGATATGTTAATTGGAATACATTGAACTTTTTCAAGTTATAGTTGCTTTAAAAAAAAGTGTGTGTGTGTGTGTGTGAGTGTGTATGAGTGTGTGAGTGAGTGTGTGTGTGTGAGAGTGTGTGTGTGTGTGTGTGAGAGTGTGTGTGTGTGTGTGTAAGAGTGTGTGTGTGTAAGAGTGTGTGTGTGTGTGTGTGTAAGAGTGTGTGTGTGTGTGTGTGTGTGTGTGTAAGAGTGTGTGTGTGTGTGTGTGAGTGTGTGAGTGTGTGAGTGAAAGAGAGAGAGAGAGAGAGAGAGAGAGAGAGAGAGAGAGAGAGAGAGAGAGAGAGAGAGAGAGAGAGAGAGAGAGAGAGAGAGAGAGAGAGAGAGAGAGAGAGAGAGAAATCAATGGAGAGACTGGCTTGTAGGACATTGCCTTTAGTTCCATACATTAGTAAACAGGACAGTGTTGCATGTTTACATAAATACAATTTTTTAACTTGAAAATAGTGTGTTGCCTTGTGTATAACTGTAATAGTTATAGTAGCAAATGATTAGTTTATTATTTCTATTTTTATTATTGTTATAATTATTATTATTATTATTATTGTTGTTGTTATTGTTGTTGGTGTTATGATTTTTATTTTCATCATTATGATTATGATTGTAATTGTGATTTTGATGATTATGATGATGATGATCATAATTATTTTTGAGATAGTTATTTGTCATAATATTCATATTGCTCATCTTATTATTGTTATACACTGACTATTGACTCATGTTGATTTTAAACTATGGAAACCTGCATTTTGGTTAAAGAAAAATGAAAGAAAGGAAGAAGAAAAAAAAACATTAGATATAAGAAGTAACTTTGGGAATTTTGGGAACCTGCAACTAAACTGGATTATTTTTTTTGCTTTCAGAAATATGAAGTGATTGCAAAGAGTCAGTTGAAGAAGCTCACAAAACTATGGAAGGATGTAAGTATACATTGATAGATAGAAGTTATTATTTCTGTGCATGGTTTGCAAATTTGACGGTAAATAATGATGAATTTGAAAACCAGTAATGTAAAAAACATTATAGGTCAAATAGCTATAACTAATCTGGCTATATAATTGGATTTCAGTTTGGAATTTGAAGTAAGAGCAAAAGATAGTAATTTTATTTATTTATTTATTTATTATTATTATTATTATTTTTTTTTTTTTTTGAGAATGAGACACACAAACTTGCTTTACAGGTAAACAGGTTCCCATATTGAATAGAAAAATAAAATGTCCCTGAATACATTCACGACCTATTGACCCCATTTCAGGAGTGCAAAAAGATCGAAGCTCGGCTCAAGAAAGAGAAGGAGGATGCGGAGAAGAGAGCAAAGGCCATAGAAGAAGCCAAGAAGATCGTGATCACAGAAGACGAGAGCCTGCCCGCCCCCGTATGCATCAAGATCCGCGACGGAAAGGAGCACAGAGGGAAGCGCGTCAAAATCAGGGGATGGGTCCACCGGCTGAGGAGGCAGGGTGCGTGTGCGCGAGGAGTGGCTGGGGCTTATATATAAAAATATTTATACATATATATATATGTATGTATACTTAAAGATGAAATAGTTATTTAAACAAGTCACATAAAAAAGAGGTCTTGTTAAATATCAATGATTATTACTAATACTCACTAAGTCACTTTTAATAATGGTAGTATTTGATACTGATCAACAATTAATCTTATTCCAGGTAAAAACATGATGTTCATCGTTCTGCGAGATGGCTCAGGATACCTACAGTCAGTGCTGACGGACCAGCTTTGCCAGACGTACGAGGCTATCATCCTCAACACTGAAAGCACCGTCACTCTGTACGGTATGCTGCAGGAGGTGCCAGAGGGGAAGGAGGTAAGGGGAATGTTCGGTCTTTTGAATGGAGTTTGATTATTTTTACTGATGTTTGTAGAATGCAGAATGCAGGTTAAGACAACACTGATAACATTTCGACATATACTGGTAGCATCTTTGTGCAAAATCTCTTGCTTCTCCCATAGGCTCCAGGTGGACATGAACTCCAAGTAGATTACTGGGAGCTGGTAGGAGAGTCACCAGCTGGTGGTGCTGAGGCAGAGATCAACCAGCTGTCCAACCCTGATGTGCAGCTGGACAAGCGACACCTCATGATCCGCGGAGAGAACTGCTCTAAGGTAAGAGAAGAGGTGATAAGCAAGTTGCTAATATTACATACTAAGATTGGATCCAGAAAGATGTCACAGATTTACTTTAATCATTTCCTTGCACTCACACTTAGTTACTGATTCTGACACATCCAAACCACTATAGCTAGATAGATCAAGTGACTCATGAAATCCAGCCAGCCCAAGTTCACTCTATCCCCCCAGCCAAATATGCACCCTATACCCTCTCTTACAAAACCCTCTCTCCCCTGTTTGCCACCCCTAACTAGGGTTTTCTGTCCTTTGTCTTGCAGGTGCTGCGGCTGCGTTCAATCCTCATGAAGGCCTTCGTGGACCACTACACGGACCGCGGTTACGAGTGGATATCCCCCCCAACCCTGGTGCAGACGCAATGCGAGGGAGGGTCCACGCTCTTTGACTTCAATTTCTTTGGCGAGAAGGCCTACCTCACTCAGTCCAGCCAGCTGTACCTTGAGACGTGCATTCCCAGGTGAGAGCAATTTCTCTTTCTAGTTTTGTTGTTTTGAGTGTGGTGTTATCAATTCTTCATTTTTAATTATAATGGGTTGATGTCATATGTTGCGCAGTGAAATTTACTGTAGTTTTTCTCTCATCATATTACCATAAACATGATGTTTCTTATGCATTGCTTACAGTTTTGGTGATGTGTTCTGCATTGAGCAGAGTTACCGAGCGGAGCAGTCACGCACCAGAAGGCATCTGGCATCTTACACTCACGTTGAGGCCGAGTGTCCCTTCATTAGCTTCGACGACCTCCTGGATCGCATTGAGGATCTGGTATGGAATTTTTTTTCTAGGGGTCTTATATATAATATGCTAATATCACCCCAAAATAAGGACAGTTAGATTTTTTTTATTAGTAGTAGTATCGGAATTTTATTATATTACTTTTTGATCTTTATGGAAATCTATATTGATATAATAAGTGACTATTTTTTATTTTAATTATAATTCTTTTTTTCTGTATTTAACTACGGAAATCTTACATTGATATTGTTATGAGCTGTAAAATGTCTTGCATAACACGGCAACGTTGTTTTCCCCCCAAATAAGGTGTGTGATGTGGTGGACCGTGTGTTGAAGCACCCCGTGGGCGGAGACCTGATGAAGGACCTCAACCCTGAGTTCGTGGCACCGACTCGGCCCTTCCTCAGAATGCCCTACAAAGATGCCATCCAGTACCTCAAGGACAATGACATCACCAAAGAGGACGGGACACTCTATGAGTTTGGAGAGGTCAGTTTGGGTCTGGGTCACTGAGGTTTGTGTGAGAGTATGAGTGTGAGTGTGTGAGTGTGAGTGAGAGTGTGAGAGTCTGTGTGAGTATGTGAGTGTGAGTGAGTATGTGAGTGTGAGTGAGTATGTGAGTGTGAGTGAGTATGTGAGTGTGAGTGAGTATGTGAGTGTGAGTGAGTATGTGAGTGTGAGTGAGTATGTGAGTGTGAGTGAGTATGTGAGTGTGAGTGAGTATGTGAGTGTGAGTGATGTGAGTTGAGAGTGTGAGAGTCTGTGTGAGTATGTGAGTGTGAGTGAGTATGTGAGTGTGAGTGAGTATGTGAGTGTGAGTGAGTATGTGAGTGTGAGTGAGTATGTGAGTGTGAGTGAGTATGTGAGTGTGAGTGAGTATGTGAGTGTGAGTGAGTGAGTGAGTCTGTGTGAGTGAGTCTGTGTGAGTGTGGGTTTGTGTGTGTGAATGTGTAAGTGTGAGTGCGAGTGTGTGTGTGGGTATACACACGTTGGTTGATGTAGGAGAATGAGTGTGTGTTTGGCAATGTTGTGCTCATGTATTTCTTCTTTTCCTTTCCTTCTTCAATGCCATCACTAGAAAGGACTTTACCAGTGTGGAGAGCTTCTTTTAAAGCCTTTCTTTTTTCTGAATGTACTTCTAGTTGTTCTCCTCCTCCTCCTAATCATTATCTACCCTTCTACTTCCCATATGCTACTTTTTTCTTCTTCTTTCTCTCCCTCTATTAGAATAAAATTGCCATTCATTCAACTACTGCTTCAGACCTCTAAGGAGGACATTCCCAGAGTGCAAAATCCTCTCTCTTCACATGAGATCCTCTTGCTTTTCTTCATCATCATGCCTTATTTTCCTTTTTATGTTCATCTTTTCATTTCACTCTCATCCCCAATCTTTTCCTTTGTTCTTTTCTCCCCCCCCCCCCTCACACACACACACTCATCATAAAATTATCCCCATATCCTCCACAGGACATTCCCGAGATGCCTGAGCGCAAGATGACAGACAAGATCGGCAGACCAATCCTGCTGAACCGCTTCCCTGCGGGTATCAAGGCCTTCTACATGTCCCGCTGCGAGGACGACAAGAGCCTCACTGAATCTGTGAGTATTCAAACTTCATTTTGTTGGTGGTGGTGGTGTTATTACTATTATAATTATGATTATTATAATGCTCATAGTTTTTCATATTAAACTTATTGTTGATATTATCATTATTGATATTGATATTGTTGTTTGATACTTGTAGTATTATTGTTATCATATTGCTATTATTATGTGGTATGTTGTCACCATATAGTTTGGTTTATTTGGATTAAAAATTATTATTCTCTTACATATATGTATAAACTGTTACTCTCACTAATTGTACTTGATATCCAGCTACTCCGTTGGATAAACAACCACTGTGACATACGAGAATCGACAACATTTCTGTTTTATGTTTCCTGCATAATATCCCCATCTTAATCCCACTGTTTAACCCTTTCAGGTCGACTTGTTAATGCCAGGCGTGGGAGAGATTGTCGGAGGCTCAATGAGGATGCACGATTACCAAGAACTCATGGATGCTTACAAGGCTAATGAATTGGACGCAAAGCCATACTATTGGTATACTGATCAGGTAAGTCTTTTCGGTCATTATTCGTTAATACAATTGGGCGAGTGTGTTTTGATAATCCATGTTTTTATTCAGTCGAGTAAGTGTTTGTTAAACCATTAAACCAATTTTTTATTTTTATTTTTTATTTTTTTTATTATTATTATTTTTTTTTTTTTTTTTTTTTTTTTTTTTTTTTTTTTTTTTTTTTTTTTTTTTTTTTTTTTTTTTTTTTTTTTTTTTTTTTTTTTTTTTTTTTTTTTTTTTTTTTTTTTTTTTTTTTTTTTTTTTTTTTTTTTTTTTTTTTTTTTTTTTTTTTTTTTTTTTTTTTTTTTTTTTTTTTTTTTTTTTTTTTTTTTTTTTTTTTTTTTTTTTTTTTTTTTTTTTTTTTTTTTTTTTTTTTTTTTTTTTTTTTTTTTTTTTTTCTTTCCTATAATGTACACACCATTGTTGCTAGAGACACATGGGGAGTCCATCGACTGTTATTTTCCGAGCTGTTTTATAGCTTGCAGTTTTGTATTTCTGATCTATGAGAGATGCTTGTATAAAATGGCCTTTTTATATTTATGAATAACAACACCTTCATACTTATCTGTGATTGAGAAGGGTTTGCCTAATTTATGAATATGGAGTGGGTGGGCTGTTTTTTCTCTCTGAATTTTCCTTAGAAAATTTCTCGCCTGAGTAAATAATTTTGAGTATCAAAAATCATGCCTTTCATTTATTTATTTATTTATTTTCATGTAACAAAGAGCGTGATTCAGGTTTTATATAATTTCTGTATGATATAATTTTAAAATGGTCTTCCTTTTCATACGCAATTCCTACTTGATTTAAAAAGTTGCACTGATTTACACACAGTAGTGATTTTAAAAGGATATGTTTAAGGCCGGTCCACAAGAGCAGGCACAATTAAGCACAAGTAATGATGCCATTGCAGGTGAGGAAACCACTCGGTAAACCAAGTGGCTTTCCCTTTGCTCTTTTGGCTGTGATGTTAATATTACAGCTGCCCCTTTTACTGTGCCTGCTGATCCTACCTGCTTGTGTGGAAAGGCCTGCACCTGGATAAGTAGTTTTACCATAGTATTGTTTATTGGAGGTAAATGAAGGCTTCATGTAATGAATATGTATTTTTAAGAGCTAAATTATCATGTACCTTTCTCAATATTGTTATTTAATATGGGTAAGTCTATGTTAAAATGAAAATACACATCCAAAGACTATTTATTTTTTAATATTTTTTTCCCCCTTGTTAACCGTTAGTTTAATAATGCATGTGATCACAGAACTCTGGAAACATTTGACATACATATATTATCTTTCTCTCTTTCTCTCACACACACACAATTATGATAGATTAGAGTAATAATTATTTCTATATGTAAAGGATATCTGCAGTATACCTCATTAAGAAGAGGAGAGTATAGAACAGTAAGGAATTTGCAGTATGAGGGATCATTGATGATAAAAGGTGGGAATGTCCACATAAACAGCCAGTGGTGTCTGTGACAAAGACCAGAGGAGGAGAAGGGTGATGGATAGGAAGATAGCCCTCAAATCCTATTAAATGACAGAATATAAATACCCCCCCAATTCCTTACTGGTGGTTGTCGTGGGGGGATTATGAGACGGGTACTGAGGCCCAATGCAAGGGATCACCTCTACCTTGGACCTCAGTCTTGGTTCAACTAATTTTACTAAATTTTTAGTCTTTTCTTGTCTTTTACTCTTCCTCCTCTTCTTCATCCCCTTGTTCTGTCCACTTAGCCTAATAGTTAACTCATACCCTTTTTGCCACAATACTTATCAAATTGCTTCATACTCCCTTATCTCCTTCCCCTCCTAACAGTCTTTACCTTTTGCTATGCCCCATCAGTTCCCCCTCTCTACCCTTTCACTGGTACTGTTGAACCTGTGACTCTGCTGTAACCATTAACTCAACACTTTTCACTTCTATGTTTTACCATAGTGCTATATGACCTTTGATATCATAGAGCACTTTCTTACATGGGGGCTTTTCCCCCCAAGCCTCATGCTATCACTATATTTTGAATACTTTGCAAATGACTTTAGGTGTTGATGCGGCAGAAAATTTTCAATAAATAAAGATAATAAATAATGCAAATGAGTTCTCGTGAAGTGAGTAAAAGGCTGATTCACATGTTTTATCACGTCATGTCACATAACTGTTTTGTTAGAATTTCTTCCATGTAATCAAATTCACACCACATGGTCTGTTACTGTCATGTCTATTACATTATGACACCATCGTGTCATGGATTCCTTCCAAGAATATTTTGGTGTGACTTGATGGTACTGTGCAGAACCGTTGCTGGGTGCTACCAGTAGTGTGAATGTTCATGTGGCTACTGTCAGTAACCACATGAACCAAAAGTGCCTTTTCATTATCAATGAAAATTTGATTGCTAAGAAATGTGAAGAACTTTTTGACATGTCAGATAGGAGATATAGTGGCAGCTTGTTCAAAGACAATCTATGGAATAAAATAGAACTAACAAATCAGGCAAGAAATTCAAAACTTATTAGACTTTCATATTTGATTATACAGATAATTAAATAAAAGCATTCTTTTCTTTTTAATCTTATGAATCATTGATCATATTTCTCATATTCTGTGATCTAACTCTTTGTATCAAAGCATTCCTTCTTTTGAATGTTACAAATCACTGATAAATTTGAATCTGAATTCATTGTCCGGCTACTGACGAGCTGTAATGAGACGTGACGTGATAAAACGGAGATGTATTGGAGTAATGTGAATTGGCCTATTGCCTTTCAGAAGTATCAAATCTCTATTCTTAAAAAAAAAACATGGAATATTGTTAGTCAAAAGTATTTGCTAAATTGTGCAATTTTCTCCCCTTATTTTCTGGTTGCACCTATCCTACTTGTTGGATATGTGAACTGAAGAGATATTAGATTGAGGGCTGCCTGTTGGGATTTTTGAAACAGACTTTTAAAGTTACTATCTTGATTTTTTTAGGGAGGGGTTGGGGGGGGTGCCTTAAAAAGTCCATACAGAAAACAATCATTCTAGAACTATGTGAGACAAATATAATAAGCCCTGTATATACATAAAAAAAAAAATGTGGAGTGAATCTTTATCTCCTAGTCTTGAAATAAAGGCCGTGATGAAAGTTTATATAATAAGTCATAAAATACCTCTTGGAAAGTGTATTTCAGTGAATAATCTGACTAATCATGGTTATCAAAGGGTCAAGGATGCAGAAGGTCAAGATTAGAAATGTAATTATATGATCCTAGCATCAAAGCAAATTGTACATTATAAAAATAAAGCAGAAAACAAAGGATATTAATTATAAAAGATCTTAGTAATTTCATTATTATTTTTAAGTATTCAGTTGCATGAATAACTGGGCATCTGTGTAAAGTAATTTTTTGGGGGGCGAAGGGGCTAACCCTTCTCCCCAAGGGAGGGTATAGTATAGGATAAAGGTTGTTAGAAGGGGAAGGAATTAAGAGAGTAGGGAGCATTATGATAAAGTATTATGGCAAAAACGAGTTAAAAATTACAATATGTGGACAGAACAAGGGGATGAAGAAAAGGAAAAGGAAAGAAGGAGAAGAAAAGACTATGCAAAATTAGTTGAGGTGAGGGCTGAGGCCCAAGATAGGGTGATCCCTTCATTAGGCCTCACTCCCAGTCTCCAAAGCCCCCCATGACGAGTGAGGGATTGGGGGCATCATGCAAATGCTTCAGGCCCCGTCCATTCATTGCCAGTAACACTTGTTCACACACATTGTATTGTGCGTGTGTGTGTGCGTGCAAGTATTACACATTGTGACAAAACCTGCATTACTTGTCCAGTGGTAGGAACAGGAACATCAACCAATCACTAAGGAGGTTGCAACCAGTCACAGCCAATATAATGCTCCCAATCTTGTGTATTATGGTGCACTTACATCAGCGTTAGCAGAGGGGTGTCAACCTTTGAGGTATGTGTGATAGCACCAGTGGTCTATAGCAGAATGTGTGATCATAGAGGGTTGAGTGCATTTGATAGATATAAATAGATATAGGTATTTTTTCTTCTTCTGTTTAGTGTTTGGGGGGCCATTGTGCCTACAGTGCTTTCCATTATTTGTTTCTTTCATTTTTTATTTTGTAACTGATACGAAAAAAAATCCTTTACTTTAAATTCTTTTATTTACAAGTAACATACAGAGGACATCTTACCATGCTACAATGGACATATACAAGAAATATTTTGCTATTATAAAGAACCCCAACACAATTTTGCTTTTTCACAGCCCCTTTTTTTCATTTATTTTACCAAAATCAACTAACAATTAAGGGCCCAGTCTAGAGTACTTGAAGCAATATTTTTCTATACAATCAACAAAGCATTGCATATACAGAACATATTTAAGAATCCTTCTCAAAGATATATATGTATGTATGTACGTCAACTGCATTCTGTACATGGTGTCAAACAGGAGAGACACAATGAATAAAAAAGAAGTGAGAAAAAAAAAGTCATTAATACGAAGATAACGAGTATTTTTTTTAAACCTGTCTCCTGTTAACACAATACAATGCCTATTCTACATAAAAATGAGGAAACAAAAGGGAAACCTTATCACATCTGAATACTTTGGAAACAGGCACAAGCAGGAGAATTATCCACTTACTAAATGAAGGAAGCATTTGGATACGGGTATTTTAACCAGTCAAGATAGTTCATATAATGATAATACTATTAATGTGTATAGATATAGGGATGTGTTTATATATATCTGGCATGAATGTTGTAAAACTCTGAGAGCTATGTTGAAATAAAAAGGCTGTGGGCTACTTCTGTCACAAATGCTGAGATTTTGGAAGAAAGAAACAAGGGAAAAGAAAATTCTAATTATATATAACATAACATAACCTCTCCTTAAAAAAAGAAAAAGAAAAGAAAAGAAAGAAAGATAAGAAACCTAAAAATGGCAAGTGATTCAGCATACAAAAGAAAATTTTGAATTGAAAACTGGCTTCACTCTATCTTACCTTACCTTAAAAAAAAAATCAGCTTTTAATTCATAATTTCATGAAACAACCAAGCAGACAAAATAAAAATGATTGATTAAGAAAAAAAAAGTTGCTAGCTGCATGGACCTCAGTCATCGATGGAGAGATTGAATTTGTGCTTTTCCATCTCCGCTCGCACATCAAAATCACGTAGCCGTCGAGCTGGGGAGGAGGTGTCCCCCGTGCCCCCCGAAGCGAGGCCCCTGCCTGCACCGTGGGGGCCCTGCCTGGGGGAGACCTGGTGGTGGCGGGGGGAGGAGGTGAGTGGGGGGGAGTGCAGGCCCGCCATGCCAGGAGGGGGCACGGCCTGGAGGGGTGTGTAGGGGGCGCTGGGAGCCAGGGGACCCACCAAGTCCTGGTGGTTTATATAAAAGAAAAAGAAGAGGGGAAAAAATATTAGAAATTGAATGAGTCCAGAGAAGTAAGATCCATTTGATTGGCTTTATTTCTACAATGAATATTCAAATCTTGTGAACACTATCAGATCAAATAATCAATGGCATGATGAACACAGTCTTGTTAAAATGAATATGAAAAGAAGAAAAACAAATTTAAAAACTTTTGCGTATTAATTCTGAAAAAAAAGTCTATGATACACTTAGGTCAGAAGCACATTACACTGAATTACAAAATGCAATACTTCCATCAAATTTTTAATTCTGTAGCAAATTTTTAATTCAGCCGTACAAAACACAGGATTTCCCTCTAGGTGTATTGAGTATTTAACACAAGAAACTTATTTTAAAGAACAATTTTTTTTCACCTGAGTATCTTAAACAGGAATTTAAGAAAAAATGGAACACTTTAGTTTGATTTTTGTTTCTCCCTCCATTTTCATTGCATACTTTACACAAGGTATAAATAAATAAAGAGAGAGAAGTAAACATAACTAATATCAATAACTTTGGAAAAATAATCAGAAAACACAATTTTCTACTCCGTTTTTTTTCAACCATTTCCAAAACATACTGTTAGCTTATTATGAAGAAAACTACTTTAGAAATATAACAAAAATAAGATCAGTACATAATAAAATAGGAGTAAAAAATCTTTGAAATGTGTAAAGTAGATGATGAAAAAAAAAATAAATAAAATAAAACAATAAGAAGATGACCAATAATAGTAATAGTAATAATAACATTAACAACATCAACAACATTGACAATCATAGCCCTCACCACGTAAAAAGAAGTGAATTCCCAAAAAAACGAAAAACTGTGCAACAGATTCCCCAAATCGCATTCCTCAAGCCGACTAATTAGATATCCAAGTGGGCCTAAAGGGAGTGCACTGGGAATGACGATATGCATGTGCAAGGAAACAGCAGTGAGGGAAAAATTATGTGTGTAGATATATATATGCATATATTCTATACTTATATATAAATATAACTACATATATATATATATACATATACATACATATATATATATATTATATATATATATAGATATATATTATATATATATATATATATACATATATATTATATATATATATATATATATATATATATATATATATATATATATATATATATATATATACATATATATATTTACATATGTTTATGTTTGTGAAAGTTTAAACATACTGTGCACACATATATGTGTATATATAGCAGCATGTGCGCCAAAGCAACAGTAAAAAAAAAATAAAATAATGAAATAATAATATATAACACATGCTATTGCTTCATCAGCAGCATCACCAAAAGCATATGATATCTTATTTCATACTAGATAACATACTAAGCCTTAGATCATGCTCTAGAAATGTTTAAGGAGGAGGAGGAGGAGGACGAGGACCACCTTCAGTACCTACTTCTCAACCCCACTCCCTCCTCTCTCTCTCTCTCTTTTTAACGATTGAGCACTTGCTGTGTGGGCTCCAGCCGGTCCTCGGGAAGCTGGACGTCGAAATAACATTGAATGGGTGAAAATGAAGTCGCGTGGATGAATTTTTTTTTACATGAAATGAAAAATAGAACTGAATGAATGAAAAATAATCTAGAAATTGGAAAAATAATTTTGAATGGAGTTAAACATGGTAATCTCAGACTTTTAGAAAAATCTAAAATAAACAAAAAGATATGCTTAACATATGAAATATGATAGACAAGTTAGTACATTATGATAATTTGAAATTGATGCGATAAATGGATATAATATAATGCTGAAAATGGTGAACGAATACAAAATAACTTTGAGGATGCTGAATAGAGTTTGCATCACTTCTCAAAGTATGTGAAACAAAATGCATAATCACTGCACCAATCACTCTTTTCATATTCTTATATAAATAAAATAATTTCACTTGATTTTTTTTATCAACACTGAGAATAAAACTCAAGAGTTGTTGAAGTATGAAACTTAGTAGTATGAAATTAGTATGAAAAGCACGGAACCAGACAGGTTTTTCTGAATGAACCACCATGGTTTGGAGTAAAAGAAAATAAAAAAGTAAAGTAAAGTAAAGTAATGCATGAACTGGTCTCTTAGGAAGCATATCTAAAATGTACTAATGTAAGCATAAAGCACTGTGAAAATAAAGGTAGTCCTGACTGATGTAAACAATATCAGGAAACAAGTTTCAAGATACGTCATATATATACGCACCCTCTTTGGAGCAAACAAGTCCTGCTTGTTGATATGGACCTTAACAAACAAACAAACAAAAAAAAATTGTTTCATTTTGTCTTTCTATTCATATTCACAAAATTCAAACTTTTATCACTTAACTAGGTATAGAAGATACTTTTGCAATTACTTTCCTTTAAGGGAAAATTAACATCTCAGCAGAATGCTTTGCCACCTCTTCCTAGCAGCTAGAACTAAAAGGCATAATCAGAGGTTGTCTAAAATCTCAGTTATCAAGGATCATATACTGCAATAATACAAGTCAGCTGCCCTTTATCAGCAAAGCCATAGAACCAATGAATGCCAAATGAGAGAGAATTAAGCTGTGGAACTTATTTTTCTTCAAATGTATTAAATTCAAATGGCAGAATGGAAGAAAACATCCCAATAAAATACCCTTTCTGTGTTTTTTTAACTTAGTCATTTAGGCAAAAACTAACATCAAGACTATCTTTAGAGAGTCTTTGTTTCTCCATCACAAATGAAACCAAACTCTCCCATCAACTTAAGCATTAAATGTCTATATAAACAGGTCTTTGACAAACCAGCCACTGAGATGTTATCAATAATTAATATAGCCAGAATAATTTCCCAATAAAATGTAACAATCTAATCAGATACCTAGATTTCTTT